CTCACGGAAGGGAACACAATAGCTATATTCCAAAAAAGTGGTTGCGAGAGCGCGAGTGCGTGCGAGTGCGAAAAGTACAACGGCCTCAAGTTTTTATTGGAAGGACACTGTCTGAACTCGGTCCAATGCTGACGCACGCGGTCTGGCTGCGACGTGCTGCATATCGCGGAGTGTTGTCTGTCTAGTCAACATCTAGCGGAGCTGAGAGTTTCCGTAGATCCCGGGCATTCAGTGGTTGCTTTCAGGAAGCCGACTTTCCTGATACAAACCAATGGACAGCGTCAGTTTACACGGCGAACACGCTCATCAAATCAAAGACCCCGATCGCAACGCAATCGACTGAAGAGACAAACAGAAGGAAGTGTCAACAAAGAGTTCTAATGCTCCTGAGCAGAAATCCGGTACTTACGGACTACAGATGAGACATGCGGTGACAAGTACAGCAGAGCTAAAAGAATCTTGCTTAATATGATCAAGATTTTTAAATCATTCGTTCCAGATCAGTGATGGTCCTCATTCACAGGTCGCGAAGGTAAAGTGTTGTACAGCGTTTCAGCCGCAGAGCAATGCAACTTTATCCCCAGAGCAACACGCAGTACGCCTTTTTAACCAAGAATTAGCCGAAGTTCTTCCTGATCTTCTGTGTTGTTTCAGAAACAGAATTCTTGGAGGTTACTGAGAAAACTGTCTGGTTGGAGGTGTTGGCACCTCAATATGCTTGACATTTATCCCCAGACACGCAGTACGCCTTTTTAACCAAGAATTAGCCGAAGTTCTTCCTGATCTTCTGTGTTGTTTCAGAAACAGAATTCTTGCTTGGAACTGAGAAAACTGTCTGGTTGGAGGTGTTGGCACCTCAATATGCTTGACATAGGCCAGCATTAGGTCCCCTCCCTCCCCCAATCTTTTTCTCTTCTTTTCACTGTAGGGCTTTTGATACAATTATATACATATATATATATATATATATATATATATATATATATATATATATATATATATATATATATATATATATATATATATATATATATATATATATATATATATATATATATATATATATATATATATATATATATATATATATATATATATATATATATATATATATATATATATATATATATATATATATATATATATATATATATATATATATATATATATATATATATATATATATATATATATATATATATATATATATATATAT